TTTTTTTTTTTTTTTTTTTTTTTTTCGGTACGTAATATTTGTATGTTAGGGCATACTCACACTAGCACGTACTTTCGCAAATTTTAAGTATGGGAATTTGCGTTTATATGGCACCTGCGGGTCACACTGGTGACCGTTTGTTGCCCAAAGCAGAAAGGACAGGGTCGCGACCTCTCAAGGCCTTGAGATGCGAAAATAGGTTGTCTGCAGTCAGACAGCACAATGCACTTTTTTTTTTTTTTTTTTTGCTTCCAGAAAGCAATAGAGGAAAACGAAATACTATTTTGCGGGGACCTCTGGAGCTCTGGAAGCAAAAAATGTAAGCCCGTCGCTTTCCAAGCCGCTGACATTTACGTGCCCTTTTGTGGGAAACTACATAAAATTTGCGATTTTGTGAAAATGCGTGGTAGTGTGAGTGTGCCCTTATATACGGAAAGGCGCTGGACGTGTACGCACGCACGACAACATAGCCCGGGGGGTAGAAAGGAAGCTGGTTGCTTAGGGCTCCTTGCATCAACTCCAGGTTTGTGGCGGTTAAGAGTCACATCTCGATGTGGAATTTCTCACCTATTGTTGCTTCACAGGTAGGGAAGGGAGGTCACTCCTTCTCTTTTGGAGACGTAATCAATGTGGCCTTTCTTTTTTTTTTTTGTTTGTTTGGTAATATAAGCGCCTATCAATGCCTCCTGGTGAAAACTTTCTCATGATTGCTAGGGAAGCTGTCTCTTGGGAGCAGTGGCCAGGGCTCTTCCATCCGTAATGGGTTGAGGCGGGTATTGTGTTAAGCCATTGATAATATGAGCCTTGGGCACTGGCCCCTGGGCCCCCTGTTTCACAAAGGAAAAAAAAGAGAGGACTAATACGGGAAATCCCGTAGTAGTCACGACCGTGTTCACAAGAGAATGCGAGTGGCCAGTGCCCACTGGAGGCTACACCCAACCAGAAGGTTGGCCATACGGGCCAGGGCTCGTATGAATGGCCCCCGGCCAGTCACTGCGTCTCCCCTCCATCGCGGCTCGGGTCCCCTCCCCCTACAAACATCAGCAGTATGCATCTGCTCAGTGCCGATTGGCCGGGGCAACACGCTACCTCTGGATGGCGGGGATAGCGGGGACCACGTATGCCCGGGCTTCCAAGGCCCAATGTGCATTCAACCCATGACGTCACAAAGGCAACACGCTTGTGTATTGATGCCGTCATTACCTGAACGAAAGCAGTTAAAACTTGACGCCTACTCAATTTGTCTTCCATCCTGAGGAAGAAACAGATTATGTCTCAGGAGG